GCATGGTCTATTTCTATAACATTTGTTATTCTCTTTAATGTTTTGGTAGCTGACTTTCATTTGTAGGTTTTCATCAGTGCCTGGTTGTTCTTAGGTGTCTGATGTGATTTGAGAATGGGCACCAAAATTTCTGGTAATTCCCTACCTGTCTGGAGTGTGTGCTCCATTGTGGTAAGCTACTGTTATGTTGAGAAAATCTTCAGTGTCATTATTTTTAGATACTCTCTTAGGCTGGTCAAACCATACAGATAAAACTCTTCTATGTTCTTGGTTGAAAGCTTTAGACCTGGCTGCCAGTGTTCTGAGAACTCCCCTGTAGGAAGGGTAACCGCATTCAGTTGTGCAGGAGGCGCTGCCCACCTACCCCAGCCTAAAGACATAATTTTGTTCTGTTCTCCAAAGAATACATATTGAGCCTTCTGCTGCACCTGAGGAGATGTGGGACTCTCAGAACTCCTATAAATAGGCTTTCTGCCACCACACATACAGCGATGCTGCCTGTACCAGTTCCTGATTATGAGGTTCTGTGCTATAAAACAGATGCTTCTAAGTTATCATCCTTCAACCTGCTTCATCCTTCCAGCTTGTCGCTATTGTGGCCTTTCTCCACTGTGAGCTTCCCCGTCTTCAAAAAGCCCTTTTGTTGTAATTTTTGTAGGCCTCAGCAAGGAAACCAGGGTAAATGCATATTTGGTTCTGTCATCTAAGTGTCCGTTGTTAGCTTTTCCCATGTAGTAAGTGGCATCCTGGGCCTCAGATGCTTTGCCTATACAGTGAAGACTCATATTGCATAGTTTTCATCCTAGATGCTTTACAGTTCAGCAGTACTTACTGTTCAGTCGAAGATTTCCTCTGGTAAATTGAAATAGTCTTTTTGTCTTTCTTCCCTACAGCTGCTGGCAGAAGAAAGTCTACCTACAACCCCATTTTATTTCATACTGGGAAAACACAGGAAACAGCCAGATGAAAAGTTAAATGAAACTTTAGAGAAGGAACTAGTACAGCTCCCCTTAACAGAGAACATACCGGCAATTAATGAGGTAAGTTATCAGTGCAGCAGACCATGTGACAGATTAACTGCATTAAGGCACTTTAAGCTGGCATTGTTGGATAATCTGTCAAAATAACATTTGACTCATCCTTGGTATGCTGTGCAACATACATGCCCAAACTAAATGACATGGCCTTATGATTTGGGGTTATTCTGTTTGGGACCTGGGATAAAGAGAGAGCTTGTACAGATGTGGGAAGGTAGAAGTACTTTTTTCTTTGGTTTGGTTTTTCTGTGGGGAAAGCCTTTTGTGTTTGACTCATGGTATTTACAATAAAGGGTACCTAGTACATTGAAGTAACAGCTGTGTAAAGGATGAGCATTCTAAACAGCCCTGCTTTTCTGTCTCCGTAGCTTCTTCACACCCCAGCCCACGTACTGCCATCTGCTTCTTTCCTGTGCTCCATGTTTGTAAATTCACTGTTGCTGTCTAAACACACTAACAGGTAAAGCAATTCTAAAGTATCTTCATGTTCTTTGGGTTTTATTTTTGAAAACACAGTCTCACTATGTTGCCCTGACTGGCCTGGAAGATCAGCCTGGCTTTGGACTCACAGCAGAGTGCTGGGATTAAAGGCATGGGCTATGGTGCCCAGTTTATAGCCTGTGATTTTTAAGGGCACTCAGTAACGTTTTGACTTGCGTTGTCCAAATGGTACTTCAACATGGGAATTTAATTGTTTTAAATTATTATTTAGAAATATTTTAATGTTATTAATATTTTATTTATTGTCAAAGTGCTGAAGAAATGCCTGATGATATAGATATGGATGAAGAAAAAGAAAGTGATGATTCAGATGAAGAAAATGATTTTACTGAAAAGGCCCAGGAGACAAATACCACAGATTTGGGAGAAGACATTATACATCAGCTGTCAAAATCTGAAGAGAGAGAACTGAGAAGGTTCAGAAAAGTAGACTACAGCTGGATAGCTATGCTGTAGGCCTTGGGGATGGGGTGGGGTGGAGTTGTAATTAGTGTTTTATTGTATATTGATACTCTAAAAACATATTTTTAAAAAGTTATTTCTACTAAAGTAAAATACTAAAGGTCTTGTCTGTTTAGAGACAGTCTTGCTAAGTTTGTTGGGCTAATCTTGAGCTTGTGACCCATGCACCCCCCCCCACCCCCACTCCCGTCTCAGTCTCCTAAATCAGTGGGATTATCGGCCTGCACCATCTCTTCTGGCTGAGCTTTGCTTTTTATGCTTTACTGCTGGGTATATTCGTTTATCACAGTATATGAGTTTTCATTTGAATCACATAGAGCTTTATACTGGGGAGGCATTTCTTTTCTAGGTTATGCAGCAGAGCTAGGACTGGCATACGTGTGCTCTCTCATTGTTAATTTGAAGTTATGAAATACTTCAAAAATCAAAAGGCTTTGCTGGTGTTACTATCTTACGTTTGACACCAAAATTCATTTGATAGCTAGATAGGACTGATTTATACCTCTTGGTACATTTATCTTAAAGAAATTTAGAGATAATTTCAGTCTGCGGTGTTCAATAATCCCTACTAAGACTTTTACTATTATAGTATTATTGGCTGCCTAAATCTGAACTGTTGTAAATTTAAATATCTTACCCAAAGTTGAATTGCCAGTGGAAAACAATCCAGGTGTCCTGTTTTATTTGAAAGTAAACTTCAAAGATCTTAGCTACTTCACATTTCCAGTTTCCTGATAATACTTCTTTTTAAAAATTAGTATTAAAAGAGGCTAGAGAGATGACTGAGTCATTAAGAGCACTGGCTATTCTTAATGATCTGGTTCAGTTCCCAGCACCCACATAGCAGCTAACAGCCATACATAACTCCAGTTCCAAGGGGTATGATGTCCTCTGGTCTCCATAGGCATGGCATACGTGTGATGCACTTACATACATGCAACAGAACACTCGTACACATAAAATTAAGACAAATTTTAAAATATATAAAAAATAGTTAATTAGGGCTTAGAGAGATGGCTCAGCAGTTAAGAGTACTTGCTCTTACACAAGGACCCACATTCAGTTCCCAGCATCCCCATGTCAGCTAACACCCATTCCTAACTCCAGTTCTAGGGAATCTCGTGCCCTCTTCTGGCCTCCATGGGTGCTGCACACAGGGTGCATTTACATGTAGGCAAAACACACATGTAAAAAAAATGCATGCAGCTGGAGAAATGGCTCAGCAGTTAAGAACACTGACTGTTCTTGCACCCACATGGCAGCTAACAACTGTCCGTAACTTCAGTCCCAGGGGATCCGACCACCTCTTCTGACCTCCGCGAGCATTGCACATGGGTGCACTTACCTACATGCGGGCAATACACGCATACACATAAAATAAAAATAATAAATTTTTTAAAAATAATAAAATACATTTTTTAAAATGTCATAAGAGTACTTCACAATTTTCACAGATTCCTGTAGATGGCTTTTTAGTATGTGCTTTAGACTGAATATTTGTGTTCAGGCCAAATTCATTTTAGAACCTTATCTCCAATCTGTTGGTATTGGAAAAATAGGGGCTTTGAGGGGGTGATTAGGTCATGATAGTGGGAACCTTCATGAATAGGATTCATCCCATATAATAGCACCCCCAGGAGCTCCCTTACCTCTTCTCTTTGTGAAGAACACAGCAAGGAGACAGCTGTGAACCAGGAAGGCAAGCCTATACCAGACCTGTGATCCTTTTGGTTGGATTTCCCAGCCTCTATGACTATAAGACAAATTTCTGTTTATAAGCCACCCAGTGTAGAGTATTGGGTTATAGGTGCACACATGGACTATGTTTGCATTGATACTCGAGTAAAGTCCATATTTTGTTTAAATGCCAGCTGTACTGACATGTAACTCCTAACACGTGCATGTGAAGGGAACGATTCAGTGGGTTTGTACTATATGTAGTATATTTAGAACAGTTTCATCCCACACACAAAAAAACACTGCCCACTTCCCTCAGCGTACCCACTAAACAGGCTATCTTGATGAATTCTCCTTAGGAATAGTTCATTATTGGTAGAGCCATACAATGTGTGCTCTTAGTGTGTGCTTGTTTTTCATCACTGGGAGAATGGGAAGAAATTTGTTTGGGCTCATGGGCTCCATGGCGAGCTGGCTCCATCACCACAGGAGTGATGAAGCAGAGCAGCATGGCTGCAGGAGCATGTAAAGGGAGGACCCTCACCTCCAGGAAGTGGAGGAAGAAAGGGGTGGAACAAGATGCACCCCAGGAACTGTCTTCCAACTGGACCTCATCTCCCAACATACCATTTCACTGTGAATCAATGGATTAATCCATGGATGAAGTTAGTATCATCATCATCATCATCCAGTCACCTCATGGAGAGCAGGCCAACGTATGATGGGAGCATCCCATTTTCAAGCTAACAGAATTCATATTAATTCTATCATTATATTCCTGTTATTGTATTCATTTCTCTTATATGGAGCTAGGAGTAGACCTGCTAGATCATTTGGTGACTTAAATCTTTTGAAGCACCACTGTACTAAACATCAAGACCAGTTGATGGGGCTGGAGAGGTGGCTCATTGGTTAAAAGCACTGGTTGCTCTTGCAGAGCAACCACATGGTAACTTAACAACCGCCTCTAACCCCAGTTCTGGGAAGCGGGGGGTGGGGGGGTGATGCCTTCTTCTGGCCTGCCTGGGCACTGCATGACAGAGGTCCACTTAAATGCAGGCAAAAAACATACACTTCAAAATAAAAAGGGGCTGGAGCAATGGCTCAGAGGTTAAGAACACTGGTTCTTGGCAGAAGACCCAGGTTCGAATCCCAGCACCCACATGGCAGCTAACAACTGTCCATAACTACAGTCCCAGGGGATCCAACAGCCTCTTCTGTCCTCCATGGGCATTGCATAACACTGGTGCACTTACTGCCTATATTACATGCAGGCAATACACGCATACACAAAAAATAAAAATAGTAAATAAAAAACCAGTTGTACCACTGAACATTATCTATATTATAGCATTGCTCCAGTAATTATAGCCTGTTCCACTGATCTTGTCTCTGAAAGATTCTTTTGTTTTAAAGCTATTTTTAAATCATTTTTTTAATTTTTGTGTATGTGGATTGCATGTAAGTGCACCTGTGTCATGCAGTGCCCACAGAGGTCAGAGAGGGTATCAGATCCCCTGGAACTGGAGTTATAGATGGTTGTTAGACACCATGTGGATGGTGGGAACTGAACCTGGGTCCTCTACAAGAGCAGCCAGTGCTTTGAGCCACTGAGCCATCTCTCCAACCCCTTAATCATTTTTAATTATTTGTATTAGGGAGGGATATACAAATACAGTGCCCATGGAGGCCAGAAGAGGATGTCAGATTCTCTAGCTGATGTTACAGGCAATTGGGAGTCTACAGACGGGTGCTGGGAACCAAACTCGGGTCCTCTACAAGAGCAGTAAGCACTCAACCTTTGAGTCATTTCTCCAGCCTCTATTTTTTAATCAGTTTAAAGCAGGCACTAGAAAAAGATTCCCCAGAAGCCATTTCCCTACACATCAATAACTTCCCCCATTATCAATATTCCCACCAAAGTGGTAACATTAGTTCAGTTGATGAACCTGCATTGACAATATTGAGCTCCCTCACTCTTATGCTTTCTATAGGCCTGCACAAGCATATAATAACCTGGGCCGATCACAGCAGAATAGTTATTCTGAAAATGCAGGGTTGGCTTTTGAGGTCAGTCTTTAAGGATTGAGATTGGTTTTAAACCCAGAACACCTCTTCAGCACCCTACCTGGTTCCTGGTGAACCATCTGGTTTATGGTTTAGCTTGTTCTCATCAATTGCTTACTACCAAAATATTCAGTTTTTTGTTTTGTTTTGACTTGATTTTGGAACACTTTAACTTCTGTACTCTTTTTTTTTTTTTTTACATTATTTAAAATAATGTAAAAATGCTCTATTAAGGACTGCCTCATTTCTACGTAAAATCTCAGCCATTGCTCTCAAACTAACTGGGCAGTCACAATGACCTGAGTGATAGCTCTACCTCACTGGGCAGAAGCAGCAGCCTCTGGCCCTGTCTGCCCATGTTGAATTTCTGCCCTGCTATGGAGCAGCTACCAATCCTAACTAGGGGTAGAGTCTGTTGTCCTAGAGACATGCTCGGCTAAGGAAGAGAGAGATTCCAACCTCTCAGCTAGAATTTAGCCTGAACAATGAGGGCAAGGAAATGACTGCCTACCCCCCAAGAGAGGAAGTGCCACAGCACCAGGGGCCACAGCTACCCAGAAAGGCCCTTCTATCCTGCTCGGCTGGTCTGGGCTGGAGGCCAGGACAGGAACAGTTTATGACTTGAATGCCCCAGAGTCTTGTGGTTTTTGTCACCAAGATTTATTGAATTTTTCTGAGTAAATGTTCTAAATACTTCAGACAACCTATGAAGTCCTGAAATGGTTGCATTTGGAGGCTTTGATTTTTGTTGTTTTTTAAGTAAGTTATGGCTGTTCTGTGGATCTTGTACTGCCATTCCAGAAGTCAGGCTCACTTCAATCTCTACCTGCTTCCTAGCTTCCCTCATCTTTCTGGGTACAACTTTCTACAAGCAAGCATCTACTTGCTTCCCTCATCTTTCTGGGTACAACTTTCGTTTGCCATCCACATTTCTTTTTTGCAGATTTCTTTAATGGCTTTTAATAGGATCCTCTTTCCTCAGAATATTGGTAGCTGTATCCAGAGTATGAATTGTGTTTCTATTATCTAATAGAAATATAACATGTAAAACAAGTTAATAACCAATCTTTAAATATTTGTTGTGATTTTTTTTTTTTTTTTTTTTTTTTTTTTTTTTTTTGGTCTTTTTGAGACAGGATCTCCCTGTAGCCCCAGCTGTCCTGGAACTCACTATGTAGACCAGGCTGGCCTTGAACTCACAGAGATCTGCCTGCCTCTGCCTCCCGAGTTGCTGGGATTAAAGGCGTGTGCCACCATGCCCAGCCTGTTGTGATATTTTATATTTTTTTCAATATGAAGTCTTCAGAATTCAGTCTGTATTTTATACCTACATATTGATTTGAACTAGCCACTCTTTGAGTGTCCAGTCTC